GTGTAAGTAAAAATCCATAAAATCCATATCAACAGTGTCACTTATGTAATTTCCTGTTATGCTTTTTACACTGCCTGGCTGAGTGACGTCTAGCAAGAAGACTAGATTGACAATGACTGTTTTGTGGGCTTACATCCTAGCCTTGTCCATGTTAGTGGACTGTTTTAGTTTGGTTTGGTTTACTTAGTCACCTACTGTTATCCTGGAAATCGTGCTGTGACTGCCTTGGTAGAAGTAAGGTTACAAAACTGGCAGAGATGTTTTGAAGCCATGTCATTCACGCAGTTCTAGCACAGATCAAAGGTGATATAATGGAGAATATGTAGCCACCGGTTTCCACTTGTAAAATAGTGCTGTTCACACAACAAATTTGGAGATGTCTTCTTTCATGGTGGTCTTTAGCTCGGAGGGGTCTATTCAACTTTGAATTATCTTTATAGTTGGTGACTGTTTTGGAAGAAAAAAAAATCTGTATTATATGCTCTTATAATCTAGTTATAAGTAGAGAGACTACTGTATCATTTCACCCTTTTCATGCAGCCATCTCCCCTATGAGTAATTAGTCTGTCTACTTGTATGGCTGCTCATAGCTTTCCCAAGCAGCAGCTGTAGTCGATATACTGCATTATTTTTCACTGCTGATCAAGTATTCTGATTTGGAAACGAAGCTGACTCAGGAGGAATTGATTTCACTGGGCTTGTTATTTACCAAAACAGCGAGCAACAGTAAAAGCACTGAGGTTCTTGCAGCAGATACTGAAAGATAAAACAGCATCCTTTTATTTCCTTCTTCAGATTTACATGAGTATTTTTAAAAGAAACAAGGACCAGAACTTACATTTTATTTTTACTCAGCAGTTGAAATGTTGCAGTATTACATGATTTACATCCCTTGATTTACCAGGGAGGCTACTAGCCACTGACTTACTTTTTTAAGTAGTGTGAAGGAGGAATTAGTTTGCTCTTGGGTTTTGCTTGGTAACACATTTCGTAAATGTATTTTGTCATATTTCAACAGCCAATACTCCATGGTAGAAGATGATGAGGACTTGCCCCATCATGATGAGAGAACATGGAATGTGGGGAATATCAATAGAAGCCAAGCTGAAAATCTGCTGCGGAGCAAGCGAGATGGAACATTCCTTGTTCGAGAGAGTAGCAAACAAGGCTGCTATGCTTGCTCTGTCATGTACGTACCCTGCTTTGAGAATGATGCAACCTGAGGGGCAGATGTAAACTGGCATATGCAGGGACCCCACTGTATCTAGGGCTGAGAAGCAGATACCAAACTCTGCCTGAGACCACCCTTTCCTGTTGCTGCTCCTCCCTTCCTACATAGCTCCATCCTGTGGCACTCCTGCAGATGAGCCTCATGGAGAAGGAGGGGAATCAGAGCATGGAATACCTCCTATATGTTCATCTGTAGTGTCCTGTCTGCTTACTGTCTTTAAAAGTTAACAGATCATGTGGGAATTTTGGTTAAACCTAGACTTTTACCATTATCCCAATATACAAGACAGAAATTACATACAGTGAATAGCATTGGAAGATGTTTTGCCAATACCATATTTTCTAGTTCATCTTGATTGTACTGTTGAACTAAAACCTACTTCTTGTTTTCCTTTTTAGGGTGGATGGAGAAGTAAAGCACTGTGTGATAAACAAAACACCTACTGGGTATGGATTTGCAGAGCCATATAACTTGTACAACTCGCTCAAAGAACTGGTGCTACATTATCAACACACGTCGCTTGTGCAGCACAATGACTCTCTCAATGTCACGCTAGCCTACCCAGTATATGCACAACAGAGGCGATGAAGATGTTAATACTCTGGGCTGTTTTTTCTAAAGAAAAGATTTGACAACATTGAGGCCTCTAGAGAAAGGAGGCTCCTTTCAGCCTTACTCAAGAATTCGAGCTGCAGTATCAAAGCTATCTGTCTTCAGATGGGACTAGAGCTTTTCTTCACAACTGCAGTGGGAGAGATCACAGTATTAAGCTGTGAATGTATGTTTCTAATCTGAAGTGCTTTTGTTTAATTAAGAAAAGAAAAACACAAGAGAGAAATCCTAACCTGATCTCCCTGCAGGGACATAGAGGCCTTTAACCATGGTGCTTGTTTACGACCACTTCTGAAGCTTTACCAGCTAGAATGTTGGATTTTGCAGACCACAGGTGTCAGAGGTCTTCGCAATCCAGTTATTGGAATTTCTTGGTCACAACCTGGTTTGGATTTGGTGTTGCTGCACTTGATGGATCCAGACACGCAGCATTGCGGATTTTTTGGATTCTGGTGAAAGATATGTAGCAGAATGGCACTTTCGTTTCTAAGAGACACTTTAAAAGGACGCCAGTTACAATATATTGTTCAGAGGAATTGTAATAGCAAAGTGCCAGGAAGTGTTTTGTTTAGATGTTTAAAAATCCTGTTTTAAGAATATATTTAAGACTGAAGAAAACAGGACTTTAAATGGCATACAATATATAATAATGTAAATAGTATTGGATGACTAGCTATCATTGATGGAAACTATCAATACCAAACTGCTTCTCTCTCCCCTTGTTGGTTTGCCGAAAGCTGAATCCTTAGACCGTGCTATGCAATACTGAATTTTCTTTCGGCTTTGGTCTTGTCTCAAGCATATCTACAGGTTAAGCTTGTTTTTCATTCTTCTTTCCTTGCCTTCTTTTTCTTTCTTTCTTTTGCCTGAGAATATATTTCCTGATGATAATTTTTTTTTTTTTTAAGAAATGTACAGGAAGCCAGCAAGAGAATTAAAACTATGAAATATTTTACCATTTTCTTTGTATAGAATATTGAGCTACTAGCTCAAAGTTTAAAAAGTTCATTATTTTTTGACTAAATATTTTGTTGGGCAGTGCCTGATAAGCTTCAAAGCTGCTTTATTGAATAAAAGTATATGAATATTACAAATTATCAATGAGTCCAACAATATTGTTTCATCTTTAGAATATGGTATCGTGCTATGTTTGCTTCATGAAACATTTTGAACTTCCGTCTTGATTGTCTTTGTATTTGGAAGAAGAAAAGTTGTATATCCTTTTGTGATAAAGACTGCAGAAAAAAAAAGGAAGATTTGGCTATGAGGAGAGTTTGAATTTCAGAATTAATCTGCTCTTCATAGTAAATAAATGACATCTTGACCTACTGTTGCAGAATTTTTGTTAGCATGTTGAGATATTTTCATTTCATATGAAGGAAGTTTCTCTAAAGAAATACCTAGGATTTTTTATTGTATTAGTGTTGTGGAAAAAATATCACCTTTGCTCAGAACAATTGGATGCAATGTAGAGCTTATTAAGACTGGAAAACCTATGTTTTAAATATCATCAGGCTGTCATAATTAACATTTCAGATTTATTTTCATAAGTTTATGGACTAAGGCAATATCAAAGCAAATACTTTTATAATTCAGCACCAAAGACTTGTAGAATTGTAGTTTTGTTAAAGGAAACAACTGCGTGAATCCCACTAACACAAACTTATTAAGAATTCTGGGACTCTCGGCTGTGGGTGGCTTGAAATGGTTAATAATTTCTGAAATCATGCTGAGTAAATTCACATATTACAAACTGATAAAATGTTCAGAGAAGTCTTGAAAAAGTTCTGACTAAGTGAAGATAAGAGTTTACTCTTCCCTTGAGGTACAAAGTGAAAACCCATTACTATTAAAGGTATTTGTACACATACAATCAAAAGAGTCAGACCCATGGAGTTCTCTCATAATAGCTCTGTTTTAGAAATATATGTTATGAGACAAAATATGCAGTATTTATTAAGCTATTGGAAATAATAGGATATTTGCCAGTCACCAGTATTTTTATATTATCTCTTAATTTTTACATTATCCCTTCATTTCTGTTGCTTTAAGGCTTTTGTTTTTATTTGGATTTTGTGCCTTTTTGGTGGGTTATTCTTGCTTTCCTGTAGATGTATTTTCTTACTGAAACTTGTATCAGGAAACACAATTTAATCAATGTTATTATATCAAGATGGTCATCGCTTAAAAAAAAAATTATTCAGATTTTTTTTTTTCTGAGTAGAATTTTAGTCTTTATCTCTTCCTCATTCTCCTCCAGTCAGGTGTCTTAGAATGGGACCATGTGAATTTAGTTTTCTAGTAACTTTCTTTTACTATTGAAAGCCCCAACAAGTGTTTGCATGACAGTCATACTACCGCGCTTAAATTTAGAAATCAGTTAGGTGTGCAACAATTTAACACTTGTAGCAGTCCAAAATACTCTTCTGACGTTACTTTTGGAAATTTTAGGTGTAAATTTGTACCTTATGTTTCTCTAAGAAAATTATATGTAATCAGAATTGATGCTTCACTTAATATTTCTCAAGAAAATCTATGGTTATTTTCTTTCTAATTTGGATCTAATTTTCTTCATATTAAGAAAACTTGTGCTATGTCAGTGGGCCATATTCTTAGCATGTCCAGCCCATTTTGGGATGCCATTTGTTGCTCTGTTGTGCCATACTATACAACATCTGTGGTTACAGCAGAGAAAAATAGTGTTTGTGCAAATTTGGCCCTGGCTTTTCTTCCATAAGCAACAGCAAGTCAAGCACTGTGTTGTGGGAACTAGGACATAGGGCTTCTCAGAGAGAAGTCCTGCCTACACAGAGTCTGTGCAATGCACAAGGATCACTTAAGGATCACTTAAGCCCTTGGAAGGAGTTCTATATTGTCCCAGCATTGGGTGGCCTCTACATTTCCCTTCCTCTACAACACACAGCACTGCATCCTGCCAAAGGCCCTGTTCACTGCAGGGTTGTTTTTCCTTAATATACCATATTGCTCACTCCACTTTTGATTTTATATAAAACAGACTATCTGGAAAAAAATATGAATATTACTGAAGAAACATGATGATTTTCTGTATTTCTATTGATATATAGTGTTCCCATCTAATAATGGTTTGGAGTGGGTTATGGTTCAGGTGTTTTTTGTTCTTTTGGGGGGTGGAATTTTTTTTGTTTTATTTTAAATCCCTGAGTATGCTGTACTGCAGCAGCACTTTCACAAGGCTTTTGAAAGCTATGACACATAGCACCGAGAACCTAGTACTCTCAAGCAATATGAAGAAAAAACATGCGAGTTTTTGTTTTCTTTAATTTGAAATTTGGATTTGAGGGTTTGGGAGTGTGCATGGTTGTGTGCATATGTGCACACATATGCAGTGTGGATGTATGAATAGATCCTAATATAGGTTCATTTGCACCAAACATAACCTTTTTGCTGACTTCAGTAAGTGACATCATTAATTTCATTTACACATGTACACACTATCTAGGTGGGTGCAGCATGTTTCTGAATACAATTAAAAGGCCAAGTTTCTGTGTTTTTTATTTTACTTTATTTTAAAAACTTGTCTGTATGGTTCACTTATCTAAGAAATCTTGTCAAACAATCTGTAAAACCAAATCTTCAAATTTTCTATTTGGTGTCAACTATTCTGTAGTAAAGAAATGGCTTTGTCTTTGTAATTGGCAATGAAATAATAATGCTTGGGAAAACCTTCAGATGCTTCTAATGGGGAAAAACTTCTGCCAATTTTCACACAGTGATTTTGCTATGCATGGTTTTAAGTTGGGAAAGTGAATCCTGATGCTATTTTTTTCAGGGTCACTTTAGAAATGGGCAGCTCAAAGCACAATGCCTCCCATGGGACAAGGTTCCAAAATGCAACATTTTATGTAGAATAATCATGTATTTACTGCAGTAGAAGATTAAATGGGCCATGTGAGTTGGTAATGTTATATTGCACTTGTTCTGATGAGACTGCATTAGCTGTCCAAGATGCTGCTATTTTTTTATTATTATTGTTTTAAAAATAAAGCTCTGTTCTGTTAAATGTGTTTAAAACATTAAGATTACTTTGTTTCAAAATGGTCTTTGAGGAGGTGGAGGATAAGGTGAGTTGTAAATTGCCTTTACAAGGCAACAATGAAAACTTGCCCCCTTGAAATTTTGTTCAAGCATAGAATTGATGGAGCCGTGTATTGGTTTTAAGTTGCTTTAAAAAATGTACTAAATCTTCAAGCAGAATAAAGGTTGTTTTGAAACAGCATTTCAATTGCTGAGGCTTCAGGAAGGACTGAAAGATTTATTCAACAGACTCTTTTGCTGGCTTCCTCTATATATGTGCCCTACTTTAAAAATGTCCATATTATAGGGAACTAGAAAGCAAATGATTTCAGCTGAGTCACAGCCCTCCTGTTTAATGAACTGAATGGAGTAGCTGAGTACCTCCAAAATAGACTCATACCAGCTAGTGTCAAAATGAGAGTTCTCCTAATCTCATATCATACTCCTGCAAAAGAAGTATAATATTAATGATCTATGTCTGCCCTTTTACACTGCAGATGATAAGAGTCTGTCTCTCCTGAAATCAGTGCAAATTTTCTCACTGATTTCCATGGAGCAAGCTTGACAAACTTTGTATCCAAACATAATCTGCTAGCTACGTGAATGTACCAGATTGTGAAAACCAACATGAGAATGAAAAAAAAGGGTTGAAGTGAGCAGGAACAGGACAAGATCAGTTCGAGCACTGTTTCCTTGCACTCATTATTATAATGCAGTATCTTAATTTCTTCATGCCCATCTGGATTCTGCCTCAGGAGCGGTTATCCAGGGATGCCAGTCAGACAGTCCAGAAACAGAATAAGATGCCTATTTCCATTCCAAAATCTGCCCGTTTTGCTCATTCCAGTGACATAATACCCATGGCCGGTATCCAGGCACCACAGAACTATAGTAGTTACTAGTAATTGCAACACTCTCAC